TCACAGAAGGTAATTTTCTCTTTTGCTTTCTTGGGTATTAAAATGTTTTCATCTTTTATAACCAAAACTCCATTGCCTACATTTGCTAATGGAATATTTCCGGTTCTGTTCTGTCTTGAGGGGGCTATTTTCAGCACTGGATCTACCTGTCTGACCTGGGGATCTCTTATAGTTCCCATAAGATCCACCACGTCAAGGACTCAAACTCTAAGTGGCATGTGTTCCCATAAAAGCAATTCGAGTGCACAGTCCTCAATTGTGAATCTCGAAAGGCCAAGGAGGCTTTAATACTGAACTTGTTTGCCCTGCACAACAGTCAAGAAAAATCAGCAGATAACAAGCTGGTTTGCTTCATTTTATGGAAGTTCCTGAAAAAGCTTTCCATTCGGAAGCATTTACCAGTTTTTCTGGTACAATAGCTAGAGCTGTAGGCTTTCTGAGTGTGAATGGACATATGTAAGACATGAAATATCAGGGACAGGCACCATCTGCAACTCATTTTCTCACAGGTTGGGACTGCAATGTAGGAGTAGCAAGGGACAGAATTTTCTCAGGACCATACACTGGCAAAAAAAATAACACACACACAGACACACACAAAACCCAACACCTTTTGGCTGACAAAGATCTTAAGGATATAAATAAACAGAACTGTAAGATTGTGTCCTTTGTAGCTACCATCTTCAGCACTTTATGCCCTAGTCATTCAAAGATTAAATAGAACTGATGAAATACTGCTTTGTTTTAGAAGAGATATTCAAAGAAAAAAGCCGAAACATTACTTCTTTTCCCTAATATTTGTCCCCCTATTATACAACACTAATTGGGGTTTAAAGATGATAGGTCGATAGACAGAAAGATAACAAAAACTATATATAGAAAAGGACCAATACTTCTTCTTCTTCTTCTTTTTTTTTTTAATATACTGATTTTGGGTGTACAGCTTAATGATTAGGCAATTGTCTACTTTACATAGCGTCCCCCTCTATATTTCCAGTGCCTCAACTGACACCTATACATAGCTATCACAATTGATTGTATTCTCCATTCTTTACTTATTTCCCCGTGACTATTTTGAAGTTATAAATTTGTGCCTGTTAGTCCCTTCACCTCTTCCACCCAGTGTCCCAACCCCGCCTCCCCTCTGACAACCATCAGTTCTCTCCCTGTAATTTGGGTTCACAAAGCTTTTTTTTTTTTTTAAACAACCAACATCAGTAAAGTAGAAAAAAACTTCATAGGTTCCTATCTCTATTAGGTATTTAATTTGTGTCTCTAGCCAAAACCGGTTTGACTCAGTGGTAGAGTGTCGGTCTGCGGACTGAAAGGTCCCAGGTTAAGATTCCGGTCAGGGGCATGTACATTGGTTGTGGGCACGTCCCAAGTAGGGGGTGTGCAGGAGGCAGCTGGTCGATGTTTCTCTCTCATCGACGTATCTAGCTCTCTTATCTTTCTCCCTTCTTCTCTGTAAAAAAATCAATAAAATATATTTTTTTAATTTGTGTCTCTAAGGTATAATCTATTTTACATTTTAAGAGGAAACAGTGTCTTTTTAACTTTGCAATAGTGTTTCAAACAGATTATAAGCCAACATGTAGTCTTATGAACATTTTAAAGAAAAATGTTTTTACTAAGAGTCACATTAAAGTTCTAGAAGCTGGGTTTGATTTACTTGTCCTACATACAGATATTAAATTAGCCAAAATTGCTAAAACACACACTGCATTCAAATGATCATTTCCTCAACCCTCAGATATTCCTTCCCCCAAACCAAGGAGTACTAAAAAAGTGCTAACTTTTCCTACATGAGCTCTTAAATTTAAACATTATGCAAATATAATGTTTGGCTTTACCTGGGTCTAAGATTTGATTCTTTTTCTTCATACTGGGACAAGGGGAGAATGGAAGTGAAATCTAAAGTTACCCACCTACCTTAAGCTAACCATAGCAACTTCTATCAGCAGACAGTAAATAGAGCTGCTTATAGTGGGAAAGTTTCTCTCTTTTCAAGTGTTTTGCTTATTTTCTCCACTGGGAAATCCCAATTAAGGAGAAAATAGCCATAATTATGACATTCCTTGAAAGAGGAGAATCCATGAGAACAACACGATCAGCAGTTGACTACAGATGGAATTATATTTCCTAGAGAAGTGATATGCTTCATTACACTCCACTTAGATTGAACAAGTTTACGTTAGCTTTTTATAAAGGCAGGTTTGTAAAAATGAAAACTTTTGAGGTAGGGGTTTGGACTAAGATTCAAAGTCTATTATGAAGTTTTCTACTTGGGAAGTTCATTTCATGGAATCTGAAATGAAAATGCAAATAGGAAAGTAAACTGACATTCATTTATTTTTTTTTTAAGAGCAGAAAATTTGCCCTGGTTTCTGTGACCCAGTTTCCATTTCTTATTTCTAAAGTAAAGCATTTTGCAGTCATGCTGACTGTCCTCAATATTAGGCTAGAGGCTCTATGAGCCATTAGAAGGTTAGATCACAAAAAAAGAAAGCAGATGTAGATTTGGTTAGTTACTTACTTCGGGGATTCTGTGCTGGAAAAGCCCCTTAAACACTTTACTTTCATCATAGAAATAGCCAATTCCATCTGCACAGTAATCCTTGTTCTATTCTTCTAGTCTGAGCCAAGCTATAATGTGACTCACCCACCTTCATTCTAAATCATTATATCCTTTGCTGAAGAAGAGGCAGTCAACGACTGTAGCATCAAGGTAGTTAATGAACTGGCAAACAAGCTTGTTTTGTTGCTATTTAAACTACTGAGAAACATTAGTTTTAACTTCAAATAATTTTACTGTTCATGTCTCACCACCAGTACTATTATTTCGCACTGGTATTTCCAGAAAAATAAGTAATGGAATCACTTAGACTATTCTATCATTTCAAGTTCTTGGTAGGAAGGGAACACTAATCCTCTTTGCTGTGTCTTCAGATTACCCTTCACAAGGCATCTTTTTAGGCTGGCCTTTGAATATTAGTGATGCAAGATGGCAGCCACCATGGGCTGAGACAAATTTTTTTGTTTGTTAATCCTTACCTGAGGACATTTTTCATTGAATTTTTTCAGAGAGACTGAAAGGGAAGGGGAGAGACAGAGAGAAACATCGATGTGAGAGGAACACATCGATTAGTTGCCTCACACCCCCCCCCCCAAAATGGAGCTGGGATTGATCCTGCAACTCTTCAGTTTATGAGCTGACACTCTAACCACTGAGCAAAACTGGCTAGGGCAGCTCATATAATTTATAAAAACCAAACATACAGCCTTAAAATAGGATATGGACCTAAATATCAAGAAGCACCACCTCCCTTTATAAGATTTGTAACAAAAATTAATATGAATAGAGTTAACAGTTCTAGTGGGTGATGGACTCAAGAGCCATATGAATGCTAGCAAAATGGTAGAGTTCATGTAGCATAAAAGTTGCCCTGCAGTAGCTTTGGTGTCTAATGATGTCTAAAGAAAATATGATAGCCCCTCAGCCACCTGAAGGAAAGCAATTAATCAAAAAGAAATACCAGATGTCCTTCCCTTCACCCATTCAATGTAAAGTCTTCCATTTCCATAGTAGTACATTTTCTAGATACATCCTGTACATCTCAATGTACTGAAAAGGAAGCTCCCATTCAAAGGCAATTTATCTTACGATACTGTAAATGATAGTAATGTTTTGTCCGTTCGAAATAAGTTGTGCTATAACAACAACAATAACAACAGAAAACAACCCCAACTTCCAGGGCTTTTATCTGTATTAATACCCATTCAGGGCTGCTAGTTTCAGCTCATAAGCTTACTACTCTGCCTTCACATTGTTTGAACCCAAAAAAGGTTATATTTCAAAGAGAAATTCAAAATAGATGAAAATGGAATAAAACTCTAAACAAGGACTTAAAACATTCTAAAAACTACAATGTTTTCAAGATTAAGAGGCTCTTGTAGACCTGATAAAGTTCTGAACTCCTCTAAGATTCTGTTACACTTACCATAGATATGTGTTAACAATGGATATCTAAATCCAGATAACTAACTATACATGTTGTGTATTTAACAATAACCTCCACGTGATTCTCTATTTAAATCTTTTTTTAAAAATATATTTTTATTGATTTCAGAGAGGAAGTGAGGAGAGAGATAGCAACATCATTGATGTGAGAGAATCATTGACTGGCTGCCTCTGGCACGCCCCCTACTGAGGATCGAGCCTGCAACCCGGGCATGTGCCCTTGATAGGTATCAAACACAGGACCTTTGAGTCCACAGGCTAGCGCTATAGCCACTGAGCCAAACTAGCTAGGGTGAAATCTGCCTGCCTGCCTGTCCGTCCATCCATCTATCTATCTGTCTACCTGCCTAAGCGACCTTTACAACTTAATAACCATAACAACTAACTATCTATCTATCTATCTATCTATCTATCTATCTATCTATCTATCTATCTATCTATCTGCCTAAGCAACCTTTACAACTTAATGACCATAACAACTGACCAGTTGCTATGATATGCACTGACCACCAGGGTGCAGACATTCAATGCAGGAGCTGCCCCCTAGCGGTCAGGGCACTCCCACAGTCCACCTCCCTCAGCCAGCCAACCTCCCCCGGTCCCTCCCCTTAGCCAGCCAACTTCCCCTAACTGGGCAAGATGGTCCTGATTGCCAGACAGGCTTAGAAACATATTCATGCAGGTATTTCATGCACCAGGCCTCTAGTTTTTATATAAATAACACTCAAATTTGCTATGTAAGTTTTAAGAACAAAAGGTTTGTAAAAACCATCTGTAAAAGTTTCTAAATGTCTGAGTAAAAAAATAACTTTCCATGTCAATGCATGACTTTTAAAAAATAAATAAAACAGTTCTTCACAGAGTTATTACAAATCTGATACCATGAACAAATCTAAAATAAATTATAAATATATACACACACAATAAAATAATATTGGCAAGATATCAACTTGTACCCTGAGTGAAGTAAAACTCGAACCTGTAGGTTATTCAGAGGTTCCATCTTCATGACTGGACCCAAAGTGTTGAGAGGCAGGGAGACATCAATGCTCTGATTTGGCATCAATGGTGTATGGATGGCCAGGGGAGTGCTAGGGATAACGCCAAAGCTAGGAGAGAGGATGAAGAAATTCTGGAAGTTAATCAGGAGGCAGGATTTAGCCTCATCATTAGGTCTCAATGGCATTTGAAGGAACATAATTTTTTTACAATATTAAATGAAGAAATAAGACGCATGTGGCTTGTGAGCAGCAGTTTGCTGACCACTAGTTTATACTATTTGAGTTCAAGACGTATTATAGGAAAAAAATTTACTTTGACTCTTACTTTGTGCTATATATAAAAATTACCTCTAGCTGAAACCGGTTTGGCTCAGTGGATAGAGCCTCAGTCTGCGGACTGAAGGGTCCCAGGTTCGATTCCGGTCAAGGGCATGTACCTAGGTTTCGGGCACATTCCCAGTAGGGGGTGTGCAAGAGGCAGCTGATCAATGATTCTCTCTTATCGATGTTTCTAACTGTCTATCCCTCTCTCTTCCTCTCTGTAAAAAAAAAAAAATCAATAAAATATATACTTAAAAAATTATCTCTAAATGAATTATAAAAATAAATATAAGAGTTAAATCTATATAACATGTCTATTAAAAAAGACTGGTAATTATGGTCCTAACAAAAATTTCTAGCTAGAACACAAACAGCGTAAGCCATAAAATTTTTAAAAATTTAAGACATGTATCTAGCAAAGGACTTTGTATCTAGAATATGTAAAAAAAATTTAGCCCAGTTGTTGTGGCTCAGTGGTTGAGTAGCATCAACCTATGAACCAAAAGGTCACTGGTTCGATTCCCAGTCAGGGCACATGCCTGGGTTGTGGGCTTGATCTCTAGTTGGGAGAGGGCGGGGGGGGGGGGGGGGAAAGAGGCATGCAGGAGGCAGCCAACAGGTGGATGGATTACTGTTTCTCTCTCAGTTCTACTCTCCCTTCCTCTCTCTAAAGTCAGTAAAAAATAAAATAAAATAAAATAAAATAAAATAAAATAAAATAAAATAAAATAAAATAAAATAAAATAAAAACTAGACTAAAACCAAACAGCTCTTTCCTCTTGTACAGTATACTGTTTCTAAATCATTCTACAAGAAACAGTAATAGTAGAAATTAGGAATATAACTTGCCTCATTAAAAATAAAAAAAATAAAAGTCACAAGAGATATAGTGTAATTGGCTTTTCTTTGTCTGGAAATAAGTACAAATTCAAGTCAAAACAAAAGGTGAAAGGATGAAATTTAGAAATGATACAATTTACAAAATGAGCAAAAGGAATCAAGGGAGTGGAAAGAGTAAGTTGGCCTCATCTGTCATAACTGAAGATCAAAGATAACAAATCAAGTACAGAAATTTAAGCATTCTTAAGAGTATAAAAGTAAATTCAAAGACAGTACTAATGACATTATGTAATTGGAGAGAAGATATAGGTTACAGTAGGAAATTAATAGACTATCTATAGAAAGCAGGGACTATGAGTATTTTATGAAGGAAAAAGTATAACTATTAGAACTCAAAATAAAAACTTTTCTAAGCATTATACTATTTTAAAAAAAGCACAAGCAAAGACAAGTAGGAACAAAGTGTGAAGGTAGACAATGCAGATTGCCTTTATTACAATATATTTTCCCAACAGTTTTGGCCTTGAACGTGGCTAGCTCCCATAAAAGTGACTGGAAATGTAACTGGTCTTGACAGAAAATACACACAGATTTTCTAGATACTTAAGTGATTTCTAATGTGCCAAACTTTGAAATCCATAGTAACTAATGTAAGTTGTTACTGACCAATTTTATTAAATTTATTTTAGGGGTCCAGTTTGAATATCTTGTATTTATGAATAAACAGACCTGTCATCAAAGTCTAATAGCCAGTTTTCTGAATAACAATGAATAAAAACCAGTGATGTCTCAGAACTGTGAAACATCAACATTTTATGTCTTCATGTCCTCCTTATTAAAGCAGAGAATTCATGCTAAAAACAGACTGTCAGCCTATATTTAAGTACTCAACTAACCAGGTACACTGAATGTCGTCTGTATTTTTTTTTTTTTTTTTTATCAACCAAAGTCCATTTACTCCCACCGAAATGTGAGCTTTGGACACACATTGGTTTGGTTCACTACTCTAGTCTCAGTACCTCGAAATGTCTGGCACACAGATGCTAAATAGTTATTTGTTGAAGGAGTAAATGGATTTCAATTAAAAACATTTTTTAAAATAAACTGTTTTAGTAAAAACATTCTAGTCCTACAATCCTTTAAGAAGGCATTAAGATCTGGTTTCCTCTTCCTACAGGGATGAGTTTCCCAGCAAAGTTCTCTAGGGCCTTCAGAGTTGAAGCTGACAACCGAATAGATGTGCAACAGCCAGCATTCCCTGTACATCCAGCATTTGTCAACATGAGAATTTCCCCCTATCGTTAATGGACTCTTCTCTCGTTGGCACAAGGTACACATGAATCTAGCTGAGGACACTTATTTCTTACCTATTCTTGTTAAACTGGATTGCAAAGTCTGTCATATGCTGCAGAGCTTTGTTGGTGAAGTTCATTTCCATATAGATGTGCCCCTGACGATGAGTAAATGTTCCCGAAATCTCCAAGCCTTTGGCCTTTACTGCAGGCAGCCAGACCTGAAACCCAGCAGAGAGCTCGATGAAGTGAGGTAAGATTTATCTCAAAGCTAGTTTTTAAAAATAAAGATGAAATTTCACTTCTTTAGGTAATAACGGTGATTTTGTTAGTAGCTTTGGTGAAAGGCTTAAAAGGGGAGACATTGAATCTACTAATGAAAATGCATGTTTATAATCTTGAAGGTTTTTTTTTTATCATTATAAATAATCTCCTTAAGGGCAAGGATTATGTCTTATGCATACTTTTAATTCTTGCTATATTTTCCAGTAAATAGTAAGATCAAAAGTTGCTTAAATAATTTGAATACCTGTTTTCTTCACATAATTCATTCATTACCCACCCCTGACCCTCAAACTACAGTAAAGGTAGTTTCCCTTTTTGAATTTCTACGTGAGCATGACATCAAGCTGAGACTAAAAGAACACCAATGACAAAAACCTAAATCAGAACTCTATAAAGGTACACCAAATTTGAACAGGCACTCTAAAATTGATATGTAGTATCAATAGAAAGGGGGAATGTGAAGGAATGAGAAATAAAAATATTACTTCTCTACATTTCCCCCCTGTGGTATTATATATCAAATTTATACTAGATTGACTTCAGTATTGACACACTAGACAATATTTCTAAGCATGAGAACAAAACTCAAATATATAGTAATGCCAATTTTAACTATAATTATAAAAATGGTTACAGTACTTCCTATTGCTAAGTTAAGGACATCTTTCATCTTTTTTTTATTTTTATATTTTATTGATTTTTTACAGAGAGGAGGAAAGACGAATAGAGAGCTAGAAACGTCGATGAGAGAGAAACATCGACCAGCTGCCTCTTGCACACCCCCTACCAGGGATGTGCCCGCAACCAATGTACATATCTACCAGCTGCCTCTTGCACACCCCCTACCAGGGATGTGCCCACAACAAATGTATATGCCCTTGACCGGAATTGAACCTGGGACCTTTCAGTCCGCAGACTGACGCTCTACCACTGAGCCAAACCGGTTTCGGCTCATCTTTTTCTTTGTTGGGCAAAACAAGGGCCCAAACCTTGAATTTATTTCAGTGGAAGTAACACAAATGATAGAAACTAAGTAATTCAGGTCATGTCCATTAAGAAAGTGTTGCTTTGCCTTGCTGGTGTCGCTCAGTAGTTGAGAACCAACCTATGAATTATATTCCCACTCAGAGCACATGCCTGGTTTGTGGGCTTATTCCCCATAGAGGGTGTCAGGAGGCAGCCAATCAATGATTCTCACATCATTGATGTTTCTATCTTTCCCTCTCCCTTCTTCTCTGAAGATTCATGCAAGAATGGGCCTTTCCTTCCTTGGCTGCCAGCACCACCTTCACTCTGGCCAGAGCTGCCTTTCTACCTTCACATGTTGCCCAGAGGACTGGAGCAGCTGGGGCTGTGTGGATGCCTATCATCGCCATGGTGAAGATGCAAGCATCCTGCCCTTTGCTGCTGGGCGTCTATGTATGCAAATTAACCCACTATTTTTGTTGGGTTAATTTGCATACTCACTCCTGATTGGCTGGTAGGTGTCTAGAAGGTATGGTCAATTTGCATCTTTCTCTTTTATTAGTGTAGATTAGTGTAAATGAAAGAGTTGCTTTACTTACAGCCTTAGGAGCCACATATCCACCATGTACCATGCCTATCCCTGTAGAGAGTTCAAAAAGATCATTCAGACCACTGCTGACCACAGCAGGAGTAGGTGAAGGAGCAAAGGTTGCAGGCACTGATGATGGAATGAAGGATTGTCCCACCTGCAGAGAAAAAAAGGGGAGGAGAGTGGATCAGGAAGAACAGATTAATAGCCCTTACAATATTTCTACATATTTTGGCATTACTGATAAATCAATAAGAACACACTATAATCACAATATTATTAGGAATTGAATCAGTATATTCTTTGTCCTTTTAATCATCACTGATAAGATAAACACTCTTTAGAGGTTCTATCAAGAGAAAATAATCAGTAGGATTAGAAACACAGTGATCAAGATTTTTTATTTGTTTCCAATTTTAGCTTCCACGATTCTGTGCAAAAGGCCTATAAGTACCCTACAGAAGAAAAGTTTGTTTCCACAGAAAGAAGGAGAAGCATTCAACTCAGACAGCAGATCCATTCTCACCTGGGTCCAGGCATAAATATCTAGTAGGAAACTCTCCTGTGGGAGGATATTCCCATCCCCCAAACTAACTTACAAGGAGAGTCTCACTCTGAGCCCAATTGACTCTGTCAAGTATTTTAAGATAACACCAGAGAATAAAGGTATTAGCTAGTCGAGATGGGAGGGTCCATTTAGCTCTCTAATGTCAGGAAAACAAACATTTGTGTAAACACCAGAGCACCAATCCCTAACGATGCCCCTAGACCACATGTGATGTATGACCCCAAAGATTCCAAGTATCCCTGTGCTACTCTCTATTCTTCATATACTGCTATAAACGTTTTGGTGTATAGTGCTAGATAGTGGTGGCTGGTCTGAGAATGTGTGCATAGGAAAGGCATCAAACAGGGCAGCGCATCCCATGATAAAAAAAAAAAAAAAAAATGGATGGCACTTACTGCCGGACTTCCTCCAATGCCCCCGCCAAGGTCACTGCCAAGCTGAAAGAGAGAAAGGAGAGAGAGAAGAGAGAGGTAGAGTTCATTTAACTAAGTACTAGATGTCCATACAGAATCTGTAAATTGCTCTACCAAGTTTCTGGAATACATGCTCTTTAGTTGTGTCCCAAAGCTAAATTTTTAGACTGCAGAGAAATATGTCCTATGGGAACCAAGTAATGACAGTGATGGTGTGTAGGAGTGTTGAGAAAATTTGGAAAGAAGATGGAGCTGGGACATCTTAGGGATGTTTCAGATCCAATCTTTCCAAAGGGGTACATAGGCACAAACCCAAATAGAAATTTAAAAATCTGCATATTTAAAAAAGCTCTACCTTCAAGCAGTAAAATTTAAAAAAATATATATTTTAATTGGTTTCAGGGAGGAAGGTTGGGAAAGAGAGACAGAAACATCAAGGATGAGAGATTATCACTGATCGGCTGCCTCCTGCAAGCCCCCTACTGGAGATCAAGCACGCAACCCGGGCATTGGTCCTTGATTGGAATTGAACCTGGGACCCTTTAGTCCACAGGCTGACACTCTATCCACTGAGCCAAAGCAGCCAGGGCCAAGCAGCAATATTTTGAAAATATTTTATTTTTTCTTTGTTGCCTCTCTAAGAAGGGGGAACCAAACCAGTATTGAGTTGCAATTTTAAGCTGCAAAAATTACAGGGGGAACAAGCGTGGTTGTTAGAGTTTAGAACTTTCACAAGAAAGAAAACAGCTGGGATAGGAAGATATCCTAGTTGGTGAGGAAGTGGGAATGCAAATCTCTCTCACAGTCAGTACTACTGAGAAACACTGTGATTTATTTGGAGATCATGTAAAATGACGCTGACTGTTGGAGAGTTAGCCCAATTTAATTAGCTAGGTGGCAGGAGAATAATTCCGCATGGTCTCAGCTCGGCACTCCCTGCCCCTACGGGGTTCTTATATAATTCACCCTGAAGTCAGTCTTCCACAACAAAAGCATTAAACAACAACTGAAGCTGAGAACAGCTGGCATGAAAAAACCCAGAACACACATATATACACAATTAATGATGCTGTTTAAAAAGCAAAATAAATAAATAAATAAATATTCCACCCTTTTTTGCTATAGTTCCACATTTGCTTCCTCCTTAGTTCTCACTGTGCACCTAAAATTCCTCTTTGAACCACCAAAGGCTTGTGTTTGCTTTACAAAACAATGTTCCCTTTATTGTCTGTCACTCAGTGTTGAAACTTGGAAATCTTGGTACTGGGATTGTGCTAAAAAACAAAATTGCAGCCCTGGTCAGTTTTGCTCAGGGGTTAGAGCATCAGCCCATGGACTCAAGGGTCGCGGGTTCCTGGTCAAGGGCATGCGCCTTGGTTGCAGGTTAGATCCCTGACCGTTGTTGGGGCTCCAGAAGAAGGCAACCAGTTGATGTCTGTTTGTTGATCTCTCTCTCCTTCCCCCTCCTCCCTCCCTTTCACTTTCTCTAAAAATCAATAGAAAAAATATCCTTGAATGAAAATTTAAAAAATTATTTTTTTTAAATATGTTTTCAGGATTTGGGAAAGATTTATCTTCTCAATGAATAGATAAACAGGGCGACCAAACTCTAAAATATAATCTATACTGAAAAATAGTAAAACCTCTGACAAAGTCTTATTTCTACCATGACAGATAATAACCCTGGCAGATGCTTCTAACTGGCATTAATAAGCAATTTCTGCTCTAGGCTACAAAGTATTCCAACTCTTTCCAGAATCTGGTTAGACTGGAACAAAAATCACATGCATAAATAAGTAAAAAGGTCATCATAAATAACAATCTGAATAACTGTAGAAGAAGTATGAAAGAAAAAGAAGATACATCTACTTTCTCACACATATCACACATCTGCAGCATGACATCAAAAAAGCATGAAATTCCTTTTATCTAGGCAAATACTGATGTAATGTTTAATGGGATACAGGCACTACTGGAAATGTAAAGATATCAGGTAATGAAGGGAATACACAAATGCATAAAACCCAGACTTTGCCTGCTGGCAGGAGAAATAAAACACAAACAGAATATTAAGAGTAAAAAAAAAAGAAGTTCTGAAGGGCCTCCTTCTGGCTGAAGATAATAAAAAGAAGCTTCAAAAAGGTGGGAGTGTGGGATTATAAAAAGCAAAAATGGGGGGTTATTTATTGAATGGAATGAACAAAGTCTGAAAAACACATACACGAATAAAAACAAGATCAAGGAGGAGTATGGTTCAATTAAACTGGAGCACAGGATAGCTTTGGGGGGGGAGTAATGGGGAAAGGGAAGTTGTAGAAAATAAGTCTGCAAAGATAGGCTGATGTTTTTAGTTTTTATTCCATAAAAATCTGGAATTTCTTAGACTAAAATTCAAGTGTACTATGAGTACTAATAATTACTTCAATTGTGTTTCATTATTTATGGTTTTTAGCTTTAGATACACAATGCAACGTGTTTTGTTTGTGTGTGTGTGGGCGGGGGGGCAGAAATTTAAAAAATAGTGATGTCTTGCCTAAGTCTCACCCCAGAGATGGTCTAATTGTTCGGGATATAGCTGGCATCAGAATTTTGAAAAGCTTCCCTATGATTCTTACGCACAGACAAGGCTGAACAACATTGCCTTAGAGCAGTGGTTGACAAACACATGCTGCTCTTTGGCCCCTTGAGTGTGGCTCTTCCACAAAATATCACGGCCTGGGAGAGTCTATTTTGAAGAAGTGGTGTTAGAAGTTGTTTAAGTTTAAAAAATTTGGCTCTCAAAAGAAATTTCAATTATTGTACTGTTGATATTTGGCTCTGTTGACTAATGAGTTTGCCGACCACTGCCTTAGAGAATTAACTATTATTTGAACTTGATTAATCTGTTGAGAGATGACTTAGAAGCTAACTCTTAAATAAAAAGGAAGTTAGAACTTGAGTAGAAAGAAAAACCCTTCCGAAGGACAGGGAAAATGCACAATGTCTCATTTGTCCTGATACTTTGATCTGGTTTTGTGACTTTCTAATGGGTGAGCTCCTTCCTTCTCCTTCCCACCATTGTTGTCCCTTCTGGTCAGGTTTACTATCCGAGCTTGAAAGAAATGGAGTTCTTTAGAAGGACTTGGTTGGCACTCATTGGCAAGAAAAAAAACCCAAAACACTGAGAGAGAAAGGAGAAAGAGGAGTTTTATCAATGCTGAATTCAAGAAAAGCTCTTAAGGAAAAGACCCTCACCGACAGTGTTTAGGTCAAAAGAAGTAAAGCCCAATTATAGCCCTTATTTTCTTAAGCTATCAATCTTATTATCTCTGAGTATATGAACATCATCTTAGCTGAAAAAGATCTGAATGTACTCTCCCCCTCCTCGGGCCACTGGTCAATTTAATTTAAAACCAAGGAAGAAACTAAAAAGAAATCCCGATATTCATTTCTTTATGTTCAGTATAGCAGATACAATTCAGCTAGAATCAAGAACTCTGATCTTACAAGAGAGGATCCAAGGACTATTAGAGACATGAGGTCAGAAATATAAAAGATCACCTAACTATGCTGTATGTCCAGAGAGCAAAGGGAAAGGAAAATTTCAGTATGTTTTCTAACTAGCAAAACTAAAGCTTTTTCAGCACCGTTTTTCTTGACTGAAAAGCATTCTAAGGAACATTATTATCTCCTCTCTGAAAATATGACAACGGTAATTGCACAATGATGGCATGAGTGACTAATAGGGAGATGTCAGCAAGATGAGAGCCAATTACCCAGTGAGCGGCTTCTCTTATCTACTGTGACAAGCTGAATGATGCAGATATTAGTCAGGAAAGAAAATGAAAGCTAGAAAGCTGAACAAAACCCAGGAAAGTTGTCATGCAGCCTGAACTAGCTATTAACCATTTCAGTGAGTTGCTGGTGTTATCTGGAGTCAGATGAGATTTATCTGTTTGGCAATACTTATTCGGTGGTGTACACAATCAGTAAAACTAGGATTTGTAAAAATTCTGTGTTATCTGTTATCCAGCAAGCTGTTGAAAGCCAAGAATGAAACATGGTAGGTATGTAAGACATGGCTGTAATCTCAACCTGAGGTGTCCAGATTCTGTGTTTAAGTGTCTCTCTGAAACTGTCCACTTCCCATCGTCCCCCGTATTGCCTTACTCAGACTATTTTCTCAACAAAGGAAATAATATCACCTATAGCCAAGTAAAACAGAATGCAGAAAGATGAAAGATGGCGAGGTGCCAACTCAGGAAAAGAATATATCAGCCTTGGCTGGTGTGGCTTAGTTGTTGAGCGTTATCCTGAGGACCAAAAGGTCACTGGTTGGATTCCTGGTCATGGCACAGGCCCAGGTTATAGGTTTGATTTGTACAGGAGGCAGCCAATTGATGTTTCTCTCTGTCTCTCTCAAAAACCAATAAAAACAAAAAAAGATACTTATTTTTTAAAAATAAAGTATTTCAAATGCTAAAAATTGAGAAATTTTCATAAAGTTCTGTAGCTGATAACCAATTCCAAATGTTCTACTAGAGGAATAGAACTCCAATCTCCAACCTAAAGCATAGTAGTTATAGTCATTAAATGGTACTTAGAATAGTACTAATATTTGGCCTCTTTATTATGCCAGGAGTAATGCTGAACAGGGCTCAGTTGATGCTGAACTACACAACATGTCCTTGCAACGTTAGTTCAGTAACTGGATAGAAAACTGATTTCATAGTCACCCATTATAACTAATGAGCTAAAGGGATTTTAGTATGATTACATAAGCTCTGCAAGCACAGCCAGGATGAGCCAAAAGTTAGAGCTGAGTTTGCATACAGCTCTAGCTCACATAGATCAAAAGGAAAAACCCTCGATCCAATGGTAGTATGTTACAATAGCAGAACCACATAGAAGTTCTATAAGGAAACAGGTCTGCCTGACTCCAAGAAAAGAGAAAAAAAATCTTTTATAAAGTTTATCAACTGAACCTTGGCTGGTGTAACTTAGTTGGTTGGAACATCGTCCATACACCAAAAGGTGGGGGGTTG